ATGCTAAGTTTGATGGAACGGACGGAAAGCTGCAGAAGACCCGGATGTAAATAGGACTACAAAATAATAAAAAAATTATTAGCAATATAGCAAGAATAGCAAGAATAAATAAATAAATAAATATCAATTAATAGCATGAACTCGTAAGTACGTAGATGACTAAATAACACGTCTCAAACAGATTTGTGCGTATTTGCCCTTTCCAAACTCTAAACAAACATCTGCTTGCATGGATAAAAGCACCTGAAATCACAATTACCTTTCCACCACCTCTGCGTAGGAACGTAATGCACGGCTGGCACAACTCGCGGGACTAAATCGATCAGGTACAGCCGAGCTCCTCCTTTCTTTTGCATTACAATGGAAATATGTGTTCTGAAGGGCACACCAAGAGTTTCTGAAGGTGTATCTTCACAATGGCACAGAAGGAGTCGATTTTTTGGGTGGGTCAGAGGGTAGCGCGTCTGTGACCCATCTAAAATATCTCCTGAACTAGCGGGTCTTCAGAAAAACTGTAAAGCTTATTGGAAAGAGAAAAGATGGGCGGTTTTCAAGGACGATTTTATGCCTGATGTGGCGCTTGCATTATTACCCTAGCCGAATCCGAAAACCCATCCGAAATATTCACGAACGGGGAAACATTCAGATTGCAACTGGGTAGAAAACGCAACAGTAGGAACATTCCCGTTGCATGCTGCTAACCATTCATCAAAAGCCGCGCCCCTCAAAGAGATATAACCCCCGAAAAGACCCCAGGACGTTGGCAGGCCCAACAACCGCGCTCCAATGACGTTTTTTCCAGTGAAGCAGGTCGCTAACGTTTGCGCGATCGACAATAGCCAAGTATAGAACGATATACCGCCGCCTGATTATCCATTTTTTTCATTTAGACTCTGTATTTTTTTGTATTTTTCATGTTTCGCTTTGTTGTGTCGTGCATGTTTTCATGATTTCACCATTCATTGAATGCACATCTGGGGCCTGACACGCTGACCTTGGGGCTATTTTTTTCACCAATTTAGCTTATCAATGATCACCATTAGTCGCTGTTTCGATTGTGTTCCTTGTTACAAGTTGCATGTCATACATGGTTGTCGAACGACGAGTTTTATTCTGAATCCTAAGACAAAATTGTAGGTAATGCGAGGCTGTTGTTTCAGCCTCATATTGCATGAGACTGAGACAGCCTATTATTGCCTGGATTTTAGAGCAGAGTCCGTCTTCCAAAAATCCAAATTCCATTTCAGGAAGCCATTTGTGGTGAACATGCATCTGGTTGTCAGTTACAACAGGAGGGGGCTAATGCCGTTTGGACTCCAGAAATTTCGGCTCCGAGCTCATTTTAAAAGTGGCAAGATCACCAAATCCGCTAAAAACTTGTATATAGGGGTAATTCAACATCCTGATCACGAATATGACATTCATTTTTGGCGCTGGCGCTAATGGATGACACTACGGTTACTGCGCTCTGCTAAGGCTGAGCCCAGGAGGTAATCGTAGTGTCCTCTCTTGGCGCCAGCGCCAAGAATGAGTGTCATACTCGTAATCAGGATGTTGAATTACCCCTATATACAAGTTTTTAGTGGATTTGGTGACTTAGGCAATTTGAAAATGAGCTCGGAGCCGAAATTTACCTGGAGTCTAAACCGGTATTAGCCGGCAGCGGTTGGGGGAGGGCGGTAACTGGCCTCTTTCGAGCGGAGAGAGTCGTACTCACACCCCAGTTCGCACATCCCCACGCTTTACGCCTGTCCCCACATTCCACCCTGCCCTCACATACGAAGTCTTTCAAGGATTGTTGCGAAGTGTGCACTTATAAGCCTTGAATGCCGGGAAAATGAAAGAAGAGCTGGAGCCAAGAAGAAGAAGGGAAAAGTGAAATTACGAGCTCAACTCGACAATGGTTCCAAGGTTTCAGATGAAATCGACGGGAACTCAGCCCAGCAAAACTTACTTCTGTAGATCCTCTCGGCTCAATTTACTGGGAGGAGCGTCGTCAAAGAAGTGAGTCATTTGATTTCCATCCATGTATAACGTTTCTGTGATAATGTTCCTAAACAGCCAAATGTGACGAAAAATATAAAAATGAAATAGAATATGGAATAAGTAAAGGGATAAGTTCAAGGCCAGGACAGTGAGGGCTTGCGTGTGGATATGGCGCTATATTTCAAAAATATTTCATTTAGATTTCTGATGTAGGAGACTTTGCCGATGATTGTCATTCGAAGAGTATAGTCGTTTCCTCTGCAGGCGCAGAGGCCTGCCAAGTGGCTGCGTTTGGCGTGGCGGTAGCCCGTTTTCCACAAACTGTTCTCGTTTGCACGACTGATGGAGAATAGGCTGGTGTCGCGCCAAACCCGGCTCCCCCTCCTGACACGCCCCAGCGTTTGCAGCGAAAACAACTGTATATTTTTTGCTCCCTCCCCTCGGAATCACATTCCATATACATATCTCATAGAGGGAGGGCTTGGCTGCGTTTTTTTGAACGTGGTGACGACTTTTGCTTTCAAAGGACATTGCTGCTTCGTGTTAATTGGCCAGCATAAGGAAGGAAGGAAGGATGTACGACTTGTTTAAATGAAAAATACCCTACGGGAAAACGCCTCCCACGCATTGCAAGTGGAAAGTGCGCAGCCCACTCCCTACCCACCTCACAGGATTATTAGAATGTACACACGTCACATTTCCTTTGCCAAGCAACGCGAACCCTGGGTTGCCTAAAGGTGACCTGATGGTGGCGTATCCTAGCGTAGTGTGCAGTATTCAAGGGGACGTAGAACCGAGACAGTTGCCAAGGTACACTAAGGACTTACACGGTACTGTACAGCTCAGGAGGGACCAGACGGGAAGTACGATAGAACGAATCCATAGTCCAGTGTAGTGAGAAATGTTTGGAATACGGCCCACTGGAAGCGAAAAAAATGATTGAAGAATGAAATCAATCGGGTGTAGGTAATACCTTCTCTTCCTGGTTAAGTAATGCAAATTCGTCAAATGTCGTGTTCACGAAATCAGCCACTGCCGGTAGTTGCGCTCGCATAATGTTCATAATCTTTTGTGCGAACTTCCCAAAAACGAGGATTACCTTGAAACTATAGAGGGCTCAAGTAATGAAGGTTGCAGTCCGGAACCAAACATGATGAGCAATTATGTGCGCGCTATCGCGATATAGCGTGCTATCGCCATTGGCAGTCGTTGCCTTTGCCGCACTGCAGTCCTGCGAACGACGGGCCAAGAGAATTCGCGCGCGGCGATGGGCGCGGCGTTTTCTGAGTCCGTATTAATCTTCGACTGGAGCACCCGATTTCACAGGGCTACGAACCGTAGACATTTGTGGCTATTTCTAGTTCTCATTGCCTGTTGTCGCCATCTAAAAGGTGGAACATCGCCATTTGCTGGCGCGACGTTGCACGCGGCGCCTTTCAGCGCGGACGATTCTCTTGCCATGTGCCCGGAGATTAGGCTAATGCCGTTTGGACTCCAGCAATTTCGGCACCGAGCTCATTTTCAAATTTCCTAAGTCACCAAATCCGCTGAAAACTTGTATATAGGGGTAATTCAACATCCTGATCACGAATATGACATTCATTTTTAGCGCTGGCGCTAATGGATGACACTACGATTATCTGCGCTCTGCTAAGGCTGAGCCCAGGAGGTAATCGTAGTGTCCTCTCTTGGCACAGCGACAAGAGTGAATGTCATATTCGTAATCAGGATATTAAACTACCCCTATATACAAGTTTTCAGCGGATTTGGTGACTTAGGAAATTTGAAAATGAGCAGGCTCGCGTGCCGAAATTGCTGGGAGTCCAACGCAATTAGCCCATCCGCGTTTACGGACAGCTTGGCTCGATCCCTTTCAACAGGTCAGTTTTCTGCTCCTGTCCGCGCTCTCTCGTCTACTTGGCGTTCTACGATCACTGTGGCCTCACCTATGCCAACAGGTCCGCGTGATAGATAGCTCACCCACCCCACAGTCTCTTTCCCTTGAAAGAACCCCCATTCCCTGGTATGCCAATGTCCCCTTGCACCCCTCAATGCTCTGGCAATCGCTGTCCTCTTTCTCCGTCTGCGCGTACAGGCTTCCGCCACAGGGACCAATTTCTGAAATTTGCCTTTAACCATAAGGTCGCTGCGCCACCGCGTGTGCTGGAGCCAAAGGGGTTTGGAGCAGCTTCTTTTCCAAAAATTACTGTCGCTTGCACGCCTCAACAACTGGTGAATAAGGGATTGGCGCCACGCCAGATTCTTGACTTCCCCCCGCCCCCTCCCTCGACACGCCTCAACATCCGTAGCGAGAAAGAGCGAGAAAGACTAGCTCTCACCATGCAGTCCGATTTTCATAGAGCACGGTGCCTTGTTTACTGACGGAATACCCTCCTGTTTCTCATCAGTGTACTGTTCTCATGTGCTGTTCTCATCCATGCCTCTTGGATTGTGGTACGCAATTTCACTGCTATTATCATAGCATTGTAAAGCGTAGTGAGGTCTATACAATATATCGCAAAGCTTGGCCAACCTCCCTCTTTGATGGAGGGCGAACGGAAAGATCTTCGCCAGGACCAATAACAGATGGGTGAGAGATATTCAACACAATCAGGGTCGCAGACAGCGAAGCAGTGGAAAAGGCGTTGCGAAATGATGTCACCTTGCCGCCGACATTTTTTCGCACATGGTGGAACCAACTGATATTGGCAGAGGCGGGGGGCTGCGGGGTGTGACGTCAACTTGCTAGAAAAGTATCTCACAAGTTTACGCATGATGCTGCGACTCAGATGTACTGAACTGCACGATAAGGACGCCGTCTACGTTCAGTGCCGTCTCATGTACCAACTGCCACGAGCCACAGCCAAAATACAGTCCATATCTGAAGTCTACAAGGGGGCGTGCCGCAAGATGCGACGGCCCCGCTGTTCGAGGGATCGTAGAACTCAATAGACACGTGATGTAAGGAAGGAGTTTCGGGCAAAAAAGGGAACTGGCCGCTAGGACGCTTCTTCTTGTGCCTTAAAGGCAGCGCCCGCGTTCATTTGTTGTTTCCACACCCTCTTTGGATATCGTAGCTCACCCCATGAGGATGGTGGACGTGCTAGTTTCGCCACTCAAAAATGCGAGAGAGTAGCGGCGCCCGCTCGTGAAGAGTCGGCCACCCCGCCCACCTGGCGACCACTACGCCCAACTTCATTTCTAATGGTTGCCTGATGGTGCGGTTGTTCTGCTACTCTCTCCACGTCGAATGGTGAGAGTGAGGTGATGAAGGAAAAACAGTTGATACCAACAAGTGAGAACTTCGTGCGACCAACACCTTTCTTTTGTTTTCTTCGCCTTAGCAACGTACCAATCTCATATCAGAGTGGGGTCTTATATAAGGCACACCCAATGATTTTTTTGCGCGTTCCTCCACTAGTGAACTACTTGCTACCTTGTTGTAATTGTCTGAGCCCCATAACTGATCAAATTGAACGCGGGCGCTGCCTTTAAGGTATGGATGAATATGCGAAAAGTAAACGAAGAACTGAAAAATCGATCGAAAATGTGTAACACTTACCGATGTCCTCGGTGGATCCGTCGAACATACTTCTCAACGATGCGCCATTTCATTGTTAGTTCAGTACTTTTTCGAACTGCACACAACTGCCTGGAACCCTTGAAATATGAGTTCATGATGACAAGAGTTCACATATTTTCAGACGTCCTTCCCAGCAAAACGAAATACGATCCGGGCTCGTCCACCACTAAAATATGACGCTTGATGCCCTCCTCCAGCACGCACTTGGCCTGTTGATTCTGTTTCTCAGAAATTCGATTTTTCTTTAAGGATATTACAGCGAAGATTATTTTCCTCCTGTTGCCACTCCATGGTATCACCTAGGCAAAATCACAAATTAAAGGCATTGAGTTTTTTTTCCTACTCAGCCTAAAATGCTAGTAGGGCGCTATATATGTATTGGGGAAATAGCGAAAGAATGGAGTGAAACGGTCAAAATCCTGCGAAGAAAGAGCCTCCGTTCTCAATGTGTCAGAATCAATTTGGACGAGTTTCTGTAGCATCTCGCCATATGGGCAGTGAAGTGGTGTAATGTGCGCGCTCACCACTCGCGGTCCTGGGTTCAAATCCCGGGTCGACTCCCGCCCAGGCCAACCAAGCCTTCTACCCTCCGGGGACGGTAAATTGGTACCAGATTCGTCTGGGAGGATAAAACACTGACTTGTACATCGGCTGGCCCCCGCAAGTCATTGTATAGGCCACATCGCATTCAATAAGCCACTACGATTCTGAATGGAAGTAGAATGCGTGCCGCATCCCGCAAAGAGATTGATCAACGCAAGACTTTCCTTTTATCCCTTTTATCTTGCCAATAACCGCTACCGAAGGTACGGCTGCAGTTGTGTACTCATATATCCATGCATCACGGCCGCTTCACATCAATCCCTTCGCTTCATAATTTGCTCAGCAAATGAATCAATTCGAGCATCAGGAACGGTCGTCCATTTGTGGGCGGGCGGGCGTGGCCGGGTGTTCTTGGTCGGAAGTCGTGGCCTTGATAGGTCCTTTAATAGCGGCTAACTTTCATGGAAAAGGCCCATTATGCAAGCACCTGCTCAGTGTCGTCGGAATTCGTCCTGCAGGCGTATTAATCCTTTTACTCGTCTCGCGGGGATTTGATTCGTGCCACCTGCCTGAAGATACGGTCCGCGACCAGGTATAGATGTTGAAAATACGGCGTTGGGAGGGTGGTGTGGTTTGCGACGAACAGCCTTGTACCGGTTTCGCAGCAAAAATTGTAAGGAGAGGCAGCGCCATACTAGCGCAATATCGTTCAGTGACGCTCCTTTTCTGACTTCCGCTCCAAACTGCGATTCTCCAAGGCCCGCCTTTTCAGTTGAAAAAGCCGAAGTAGCAGAGCGAGAAGAAATCGTCACTTGTCGCGCTGCAAAGTTCTTATCGAGGAATCTGGCTGGTTGACGGTATTGAGGCGCTAGTATTGGAGCTGGGGTTGACTGGGCACGTATAAACCGTGATCGCAATGGGGGTTCAATCTGGGGAAATTTGGCATGTTTTTTTTTTCTGGTTTTTTCTTCACTATCGAGCTACTCAGAATCTTGTCATCTATATGCAAACCCCTAACCCACTATCTGTGGCGGCGAATACGGGCTTTGCCTCTAAGCTACTCACGTGTAAAGAAAATGCAAAACTTTCGTGGACAACGCTATCGGTTCTCAAGCAAGTCCGAATTCTTCTCTTGAAAATTCGAAATTTCTGGCAACAGATCGTGATTAGGGAGGCGTGGCTTTAGATAGAAAGGGTGTATGAGCTAATTACAGTATTCTTGAAGATTCTTCATGGGTACGTCGCATTTGATCCAGCGGATGAGTGGTGGCCGTATTCCGGTCGCCGAGGGGGACTTCCATTAATGTGAAAAGGTGGAACCTCGGTGTGGCACACAGCCCGTTTCGACGGGTTCAGTCAAGGAACCAGAGTTAAAGGGTGTCGAGCATGGGGATGTTGGAGAACTGGGCTGAAGAGGTTGCGGAAGGGAGTTGGGAGGAGGCGCTATTCCAATTGAAGCCCTCAGGGAGGATGTGTTGGAGTGTGAGTATGGGGCTAAACGAACTGAAGCCATGGCATATTCCCGAAATGCTCTTTGAAACCGATCGCGATCCATCCGTCATACACTTGGCATTTCTATCAATTGGTTAATTCTTCACCTTTTATGCTACTGTAGCTCTTCACTGGAACTCTTAAAAAATCAATTGATACCTATAGTTTTGAGAGATTTTTGTGAGCAAGCTTGGCATCTCGGAATTAGTGTGACCATCGAATTGTTCAAGCGGCAGAACTCGAGGAATGGAAGGAGGATGACTGACGAGTTGAAAAGCTGACAGTGAGCTTCGTTGCTGGAAAGAGAAATGCTGGTCGGTATGTCGAGTAACGAGGCGAAAACACAATTCGTAATAATAACAAAACTTCCTTCCAGGAGGAGGTTTGATGGGAGTTATCCTGTCAGAAACGGGCAAATTTTTCGAATGCCCTGTTGGTGAAGCAGAGGAAAAACACTATTGAGTTTCATTTTTTTGAATAGCCATGTGAACAAGATCGAAGGACGGTAACAACAAACGGTTACGATTCGGAGCTGTCAAGTACCTTTGCGATGCGTCATGCATTTTGCTTCCACAAGGAATCGCGGAAACGTCTAAGCGCGATACTGAGCAAATAAGATTCCTTGGATTGTGAACAGTTTCTGTTATAAAGCGGGGAGACCTATAGGAGAAAAAGTGGATGAGTTGAGATGGTGAAGAGCGATCTTTCGGTCATCCAAATATCGCGTGTCATTCCGCCGCGCTGATACCACTCAACGGCTGTGCTTACACAGAAGTTCGGAAAATGCTTGCAAGAGACAGATCTTTCGCGGCTATTTTGCTTAAATTTACAGATATAAGCTTTACGAGCAGAGAAATTTACACAGCACGAATCCGCGATAAGGTAAAAAGGTTGAAAAACGTGGAGTCGGAGGCCTAGTATGGAAACCGCGCCGACCAACAACCTTGTACCACGTATGTTTCGCAGGCAAAAAATTGTTAAGGGAGGGCGCCTATAGACCGGAATATTAGGTTCAGTGACGCCTCCTTCTTTCCAGTGACTCCGCCTCCAGACTCCGCATTCAAGGCCCGCCTATTCAGTAAAAAGCGAAGCTGCGGGACGAAAAAGCATGAAAATTGGGTCATTGTACAGGCCGTGCGCAGAGTTCTTATCGGGAAATCAGGCTTGTGTGGATAGGGGCGTAGTGTGGAGCTTCATTGGGCACCTACATACTGGCATTGAAGTGGGGTTCTATCTAGGGCAGTTGCCATAATTTTTTTGCTTTTTTTTCTCACTGTCGAGTTACTCAGCACATTATCGTATGAATGCATACCCCTAATCCACTATCTGTGATGGACAATGATCGCGTGCTTTGGTTTCAAGAGGCGTGCATAGTAATGAAACTCATGGAAGACATGGAGACTTATAAATGCGTGTAAAGCTATAAAATGGAATTCAGTGAAGCTTATTTAGGTCACTTTGAGAAGATTAAAGACAGCTCCCGCGATAAAAGTCTCATGGATAGCTGCTTTCCAATTATGAAACAGCAGCTGATAAGTAATCTCCCAAAGAAGAAAACAGGCAAGAAGCGTTCTCCAGAACAACATAAACAAAATCGCTCCCTCACAGTTAATTCACCTCCTGCGGTCTCTGTGCAACCCCTAGCTCACAAATCTCTATCACATCTCGCAGTAGTTGATATCATCCAGTGCAAAAAAAAGAATACAAAAAGAAAACAACAAAAACGCAGAGGAAAAACTCTGGAAGGAAAAAGGAATTTTATCAACACGGTTCTGATGTGATTAGGAGTAGCGCACCTTTTGTGCGTCGTGGTTTTGCATCACGAAATTGCGTCACTCGTGTTTTTTTACGCGTTTCACCTCGCGAAATGGGTTGAATTGAATGTATATACTTGCAATGAGTAAACTGTAATGAAAGGAGAGCAGAATTATCCAGGGGCATTAGCAATGCCCGCCGCCCCAACTAAGAACAAGTGAGTGGCCTCCGTCGAAGGACATCTAGCAAGTAAAGGCGGTCCGACTGAGGAGGAGTTAGAACTAGCACTTTGAGTATAGCAGCCTCCACGCTCACAATAGAGTCGCGAAAGGTGAACAGTCTTCTAGCTTGGAGGCTAGACTACTTGCACAGCAAAGGCGACCACGAGCCACTTTGATCGCGGGGGCTGTCTTTAAGCTCACATGTGATAGTTCACAAGTCTCACCAAAACAGCTTGGCGAATCTTGTTCCATTTCACAGCTTTACAAGAGATTACAAGTCATACAAGTCCCTCCAAGACGAGGAAACTGAAGAAGCTATCGAACTAGCGGACGATCCCCTCTCCTACCCCTTCTCGTCCCCACCCCGCACTACTAAAATGAACAGCTCCAAGCTTAGTATTGTTACGCAAGTTCTCCATATTCAGCGATAGTTCTAGAATAGTATCTCCTTTAGATAACCTTTCTTGAACCTATTAAGCATTTTTTCGCGAAAGCTATTTTTGTCTTCAACCAGCGCTCCCTCCAACTGGCACCACCTACACCTCTACCCGGCCTTCAGTGGTAGAGGGGCCTCTGAACGATGACTTTTCCCTGCAAGAGCCATCCTCATTCACAGGTGACGGCTGCCTTCGTGCAAATCCTGGCAGAAGACGAGTTTCGTTGAGAACTAGCTATGATGAAGGTTGGCATCAGACGGGGTAAAAATTGAGGCATGGAGGCGAAGCACACGGGCTAAGACGGTCAAACCGCTTCAGTGAACAACGTAGCAGCTGATCGTCCCATCATTAAACGGAAGGGAGAGGCATCGGGATTGCTCAGATACCGCCGAAATCAATTTTGGATGCGCATTGTCAATGTGCCGCTCGTGTACCTTTGACCCCCCCCTTGACCATCCTGGTCACGCTCAGCCGATCGGTCGATTTGCGCGGGAAGACGCTTCGCATAAGATTAGCCGCGCGCCCTTCATTCTGTTTCTCTAGTCTCGACCCGACACCACCCTCCCCCTCTCTTCTCTAGGTCCCACTTTATTTTTCTTTTGTGATTTTCTTTTTTCATCACATTCGTGCTGATATCTCTGAAGGCACATACGTCTTGAGTGCTTCACGTAATAGTTTAATAAACACACCTTTTTTGACGACATTGCATCGTGTTTCTTCTTTCTTGCGCGTATCCTCCTATACCGAACCGACCTCTGCAGGACTATTCCTGCGACTGCGCATACCATTAAAGTTCCACGAGTGCTAAGTCAAAACAAGCTTAGGGGGGACTTTTCCTGATCACGTAGGATGCAGATCGGCTTTCATGTCCGAAGAAGGTCCACTACTGAGCAGCATCAACGCCTTAGACAGGTGAATTGAGAATGGCACGAGAGAAGGGACGACCCTTACCTACCCCCTCCCTATGTACCGGAACGATTGATCTTGTGAAGGATATGTGGGGCTGAGGGAGCTGCATCCCCCCCCCACCCTCGCGGTCTGATAAAGGAGGTAGACGTCACGGTTGGGGAACACTAGGAATCAGCTCCGAGCCAGTCCCTCTTTCTCCTAGGGATGTCATGGCAACAGAACTCGTAGAAGGGCCACTGAAAATCATCCTTCACGCTCATGACATTACCCTGATAGCAGATAGCAGGGGAGGACTCCAGGGCAAGGAAAGTTGGCAGGAGGTGCTCACTGAGAACGGACTCCAATTGAATTTTTAGAGAAGACAAAGTACTTGAGCTCTGAAGAACCCACTGGACTCTTAGTAGACCGCCACGGGGAAAAAATCTAGAGGGTTAAGTACCTTCATTACCTAGAATACGGTCTAGCCGTTGACGGTAGCGTGATCCAGGCAGTAAAGGCCCAAATAAACGCGGCTTGTATGAAATGGAGGAAATCAGTGGCATCTTCTGCGACCAGCGGCGTCCTGGAATGCTCAAGGGCGAGGTGCATCGGGCCTAGTAAAACTTAGGCAATGCTCCACGGCAGCGAATGCTGGCCTAAATGAAGGAATAATGAAAGTCAACCCAGAAATCGCTCTGCAGAAATGAGAATGCTGAGATGGGCTAGTGCGGGACCCGAGTTGAGTTAGGACAGAAACGAAAGACGTCAAGAGCGTCCATGCGAGACGTCACATTATGAGGCATGAGGACAGCGGCTGCGATGGTACGTACACTCTTCAAGACCTGAAGACCTCAATAAGGAAATTACTGGACTTCGAAAAAACTGGGAAGCGACCCCGAGGAGCGCCAAGGAGTAGATATAAGGACGTCGTCAAGAAGGACCACACTTTAGTGTGTAACAAGATTAGCGGACCTCTAGATAATGCTAGGGTGAGGAAGAAGAAGAGGGAGAAGACTACCTTACAGTTATTGCTACTGAACTAGTAAGTAAACAGTAAAGTCTAGTAAATAAACAAGTCGAGGAACAAAAAGTAAGCAGTCAAAAAACAACTTAAATAGAATAAATTCAACAACAAGTAATAATAACTACAGTAAATGAGTAATGTATTGACTGGACAATAAAATCAATGAATAATAAGCAATACAGATAGATAAGATAGAAGATGAGAATGGAAAAATGAACTCACAACGCTCTCGTTTTCCGATGGATTCGATGTCATAACGTTCGTGTACTTCTCCGGTTCTATCTTCTCGCAGATTCGTGGATTAATAGGATCGCGCTTGTTTTGGACACCTAGAAAACAGACTCTGGCCGATCATTGAACGATAGTTTAACTACTAAGCAAATTATCAGTCCATCTAGAACGAAAAATGTGAAGGGAGAGAGCCCATTCAGTACCTAAAGACAGGCCAAAATTCAAAGGAAATCTCACCTTCTGCAGACATTCCTACGTTCATGCACTTCTGCAGACGGCACTTGCGACAAATACATCGTTGGGCTGAAAGAAAATCGTGCAAAAACGAATGACTTTTCCACATAACGTTCAAATGCTCGGTCCACGTTGATCGTGTAGGTGGGAACAGTCAATTATTCTGCCTTCCTCAATCGCGCACTCGCTACAGGAGGCGCGCAATCGTCGCCCCATGTCCCCTGCTTAGGAATCGTTTTTTCTTCTGGTGCAAGCCCATCTAGCATCTCTACTCCCAGCCAGAGCACAATGAAGCTCAGTAAAGCTACCGTGAACTTTGCTAAAGGAGGCTTGTAGGGCGGAGTGACTGAGGCCGTACTTTAGTGAGGAGTGTGGGGCGACGCCTTTCAGCTCACTTTCCTCCACTTATGGACGACCGAATTCTCTCCAGATCCTGTAGACACACTACCTGTATTGCGAAAGAATAAACGAAAATTCTTCTCGGAGACACTCAGTGATCACTTGAGAGAAGGAGATCAGCTCCGCAACCACAAGACCGCAACTTCCATCACTCCAGAGTGTAAGGGAATGACACTACGAGGTCTGCGAAAAACCCGGAAATCTCGCTAAAATACCTACTAACTGCTGTGTGGCAATGCGACTGTTTTCATTTCATTTTTTTGGTGTGCGCCTGTCTGATCTCTCTGAGCTTCTCTGCGTCTCTATTCACCGCACACTCTCCGATGACACAAACAACTGAGCCTTATTTGGGGCATTTCGACAATTTTTCCGGTCTTCCCTCACTACTAAGTCAAACATCATCGGTTAATTGGAGTTCGGATCCCACTTGTTCACGACCTGCAGTAGTGGAATGTGTCTCTAAAGGCAAGTGGCACCCAAAATAAATCCCCAAAAAGGTGTAGGGATTAATACGTCTAGCAGAACAGAACTCGACTCCCGTGGACAGGCGCTGGCTCCTTCCCAAGGAAAGTACCTTTATAGCGCCTCATCAAGCTGTGCACATACCAAACCCACGACGCCCAGCGCAAACGCCGGCCTACAATGGCTTCCGACGAACGGCTGCTACTTTCCTATCGCCTTTATCTGCGAAGTACAATATGGAGCGAAGGGATTGGTATGAAGCGCGCAGTGCTGCATGGATATATGAGTATATACATGCAGCCGTATCTACCGTTGCATTTAGTGGCACAGTGCCAGCGGGAAACTCGTCCGAAACTGCTTTTTGATACGTGTAGAACAGTGGCTTCTTTGCAGATTCTTGACCGTCTCGCTTTGCTTTTTTCGCCATTCCCCAATACATAGCACTCCTGCTACCATTCTAGAGCGAGTACCAGATTATTATGCTTTATGCTTTCAAACGAGGCGGAGGTGGTGTAGTGACAAGTGGCGCGCTCACCACTCGCGCGGTCCTGGGTTCGAATCCCAGGTCGACACCCGCCCAGGCCAACCAAGCCTTCTACCCCCCGGGGACGGTAAATTGGTACAGATTCGTCTGGGAGGATAAGAACACTGACTTGTTACATCGGCTGGCTCCGCCAACGTCATTGATAATAGGCCACAATCGCTTCAGTTATAGCCCACTACGATTCGAATATGGAAGTAGAATGGTGTGTCGCATCCACAAAGGGGACTGGTTAAACGGCGTAGACTTTATCCATTTATCCTTTATGCTTTCAAACAGCCACGTTACAATCGGACAATGCGTACAGGCTATATAGTGCTCTTTCGTTGAAGAAGGCGCTGGGTGGCGCCAAGGTGCAACATGCCGAGCCAGACGCCCATCGCAATCGTCCGCCCAGAAATGGCTGAACAATCACATCGATGCTGATACTTTTATTGTTTCATTTATAAAGCGCGCAAATTATGATCATAAAAGCGTCTTGCCACATGGACATATGAATACATACGTGCAGCTGTATTCATCAAAACGGTTGCCACAATGCCGACGAGAAACTCGTCCAAAAATGCTCGTTCACTGCCGTGCAGAAGAACGAACGTTTTTTTTCCGCAGGTTGTTGCCGTTCAATTTCGCTTTTTCGTCATTTTTCCGCTATGTAGCACCCTGCTACTTATTTCCGAGCCACAGTACCAAACTTTCGCTGCCTCCTGTGATCTTCAGTACAACGCTTTCTTAACGTCAACATCTATGAATCACAGAAACAAAATCAAGTATGAAGCATTCGTCAAAGTGATTGACTCTCGACTCTGAATGCAAAGGGTGTAGTGAGTACTAATAATAGAACAAGTATTTAATCACATCACTTAATAATGACTGCACAAATAGTACGTCAGTACGTAGCCGCTCATTAGATCCTCTTACTGTTCAAAGTGCAGCAGTGAACTTACATTTATTTATATCACAAGAATTTGTTCCCTGTCGACATACGTACTTCTTTCGCATCGCTATGGAGCGCCGAAAAAACGCGGCACATGCACGACATGACTCGATTCCGAAATGGGCGCCATCTGATCGGTCCGAACAAATCCGACAAACACGTCGGTCCATGCTGAAATCAACGTATACTAGTACAGAGATCAAGATTGTTTCCACATGAAGACGTCATAGAAATAAGAGTACTCGTAAAAGTAAAGTACCCAAACAAAGAAGATCGCTCAAATCAATTCAGAAGAGAAGAAGTAATTCGTAAAAAAAACTAATAGAAACATAAATGGCACGTTTCCGCGTCCGCGCACATATGAACATTCAAGCTGAAAAAAAAAAAAGGGGGGGGCTTTCGGCGGCCAGCTAAAGCACTTTCTCAGAGAACACGTATGGATTGAAAATGAGAAACAGATAGCCTAATGACACAAAACCAACATAACCCACTTACTTTACCTATGTATTAACGTGTCGTCGCGTACCCCCTTGCCCCCAGCTAGAGTAGACGTGCTAGGCGTTCATAGCCTCAATCCAGGTAGGACTGTGGTTCCAGAATAAAAGGCAAGAGAGTCAAAAACTTTGACGAATGCTTCATACTTGATTTTGTTTCTGTGATTCAGAGATGTTGACGTTAAGAAAGCGTTGTACTGAAAGGCTAAGGCACGATAGTTTGGTACTTGCTCGGAAATAGTAGCAGGGTGCTACATAGCGGAAAAATGACGAAAAAGCGAAATTGAACGGCAACAACCTGCGGAAAAAAAACGTTCGTTCTTCTGCACGGCAGTGAACGAGCATTTTTGGACGAGTTTCTCGTCGGCATTGTGGCAACCGTTTTGATGAATACAGCTGCACGTATGTATTCATATGTCCATGTGGCAACGCTTTATATCATTTGCGCTTTATAAATGAAACAATAAAAGTATCAGCATCGATGTGATTGTTCAGCCATTTCTGGGCGGACGATTGCGATGGGCGTCTGGCTCGGCATGTTGCACCTTGGCGCCACCCAGCGCCTTCTTCAACGAAGAGCACTATATAGCCCTGTACGCATTGTCGATTTAACGTGCTGTTTGAAAGCATAAGGCATAATAATCTGGTACTCGCTCTAGAATGGTAGCAGGAGTGCTATGTATTGGGGAAAATGGCGAAAAAAGCAAAGCGAGACGGTCAAGAATCTGCAAAGAAGCCACTGTTCTACACGACTCAAAAAGCAGTTTCGGACGAGTTTCCCGTGGCATCGTGCCAATAACCGCTACGGTAGGTACGGCTGCATGTATGTACTCATATATCCATGCAGCACCGCAGCCGCTTCATATCAATCCCTTCGCTTCATATTGTACTTCGCAAATGAAGCGATACGAGCATCAGCATCGGTCGGACATTTGTGGGCGGGCGGGCGCGGTGGGCGTCCGGGTCGGTATGTTGCAGCTTGATGAGGCGCTATAAAGGTACCTTCCTTGGGAAGGAAGCCAGCGCCTGTTCACGGGAGTCGAGTTCTGTTCTGCTAGACGTATTAATCCTACACCTTTTTGGGGATTTATTTTGGATGCC